CTCAGTTTTGCTGGGTAGGTGATTCTTGGTTGTAATCCTATCTCCTTTGCCCTCCGGAATATTATATTCCATGCCCTGCAGTCCTTTAATGTAGAAGCTGCTAAATCTTGTGTTATCCTGATTGTGTTTCCACAGTACTTGAATTGTTTCCTTCTGGCAGCTTGTAATATTTTCTCCTTGACCTGGGAACTCTGGAATTTGGCTATATTCCTAGGAGTTTTCCTTTGGGGATCTCTTTCAGGAGGAGATCTGTGGATTCTTTCAATTTCTATTTTGCCCTCTGGTTCTACTTATCAGGGCAGTTTTCCTTGATAATTTCTTGAAAGATGATGTCTAGGCTCTTTTTTGATCATGGCTTTCAGATAGTCCAATAATTTTTAAATTCTCTCTCCTGGATCTATTTTCCAGGTCAGTTGTTTTTCCAATGAGATATTTCACATTGTTTTCTAATTTTTCATTCTTTTGGATTTGTTTTACAGTGTCTTGATTTCTCATAAAGTCACTAGCTTCCAATTGCTGTATTCTAATTTTTATGGAAGTATTTTCTTCAGTGATCTTTTGGACTTCCTTTTCCATTTGGCCAATTTTTCTTTTTAGGGCATTTTTCTCCTCATTGGCTTTTTGGACCTCTTTTGCCATTTGGGTTAGGCTATTTTTTAAGGTGTTATTTTCTTCAGTATTTTTTTGGGTCTCCTTTAGCAAGCTGTTGACTTGTTTTTCATGATTTTCTTGCATCACTCTCATTTCTCTTCCAGTTTTTCCTCTACTTCCCTTACTTGCTTCTCATAATTCCTTTTGAGCTCTTCCAAGGCCTGGGACTGGTTCATATTTTTTTTGGAGGCTTTGGATGTGGGAGCTTTGACTTTGTTGTCTTCTTCTGGTTGGATATTTTGATCTTCTTTTCACCAAAGTAAGATAATATAGTCTGACTCTTTTTGCGCTGCTTGCTCATGATCCCAGCCAACTACTTGAGTTTTAAACTCTTTGTTAAGGTAAGAGTCTACTTCCAATGTGGAGAATGTACTGTCCCAAACTTCAGGGGTTTGTACAGCTGTTTTCAGAAATACTTGTAGGAACCTGTAAATTTTCAGTTCTTACAAGGTGGTATGATAAGGCGTGAGGTGTTTACTCCTTTCCTGGCCTGTGACCACAAGTATTCCTTTCTGTCCTATAACTGTGAGGAGGGGTTCCTCTCCATAGCTGCTACGAGCTCTACCACACCAGCGTTCCTTCTCACCCCAGCACCGCCACCCAGAACTGTGACCCAGATCCAAACAGGGGCAAAGCAAGAGATTCCTGCCTCAGCACTGGCAAAGAGATTCCTGCAGTCCGTCTCTGATCAGCCACTGGATTCCCCCCCAGTCTGTGGGCCGGAAGCTCGGGAAGCAGCTGCCCCTCCCCCGACCACGCTCTTGGGAAATGAAGCTGAGACCCCGCCTTCCTTTCTCAGCACCGACAGAAACAGACTTTTCCCACTGACCTTCTAAGTTGTCTTTGGCATTAGTGGGTTGAGGAGTCTGGAAACCTCTACAGCTGCCCACGATTCAGTCCTCTGAGGCCCGCTCCAGGTTCACTGCGGCTTGCGCTTTTACGCTGTGCTGCGCTCCCAGCACGATTCACCTTTCTCATCAATCATCCAAGGTGTCTTGGGCTGGAAATTTGTTTCACTCTGTCTTTTTGTGGGTTCTGCTGCTTCAGAATTTGTTTAAAGCCTTTTTTTATGAGTATTTGGAGGGGTTTGGGGGAGAGCTTAAGGAAGTCACTGCTTTCAGTCCGGCAGCTTGGCTCCGCCCCAATAACCAATAATTTCATTAAAGAGAATGACAACAGTGTGCCAACATTCCAAAATTTGTATGCACACAAAGCAGTACTTAGGGGAAAATTTATATCTCTAAATGTATACATCAGTGAAAGAAAGAGTAGATCAATAAATTAGGCATACAAAGCAAGCATAGTTTAAGAAACTAGAAAAAGAACAAATTAAAAATCCCCAATTACATACTAAAATGGAAATCAAAGAAGAAATTAATAAAATTGAAAGTTAAACCCATTGTACTAATAAACAAAACTAGGAATGCTTTTATGAAGGTAACAAAAACATAGATAAACCTTGGTTAATTTGTTTTAAAAAAAAAAAAGGAAACCAAACTACAAGTGTAGTGTGCTTGACATAGAGCCCGTTAACATACCCTTTGTGACCAATCCTGGCAGTGTGGATAAAAAAGAAGCTATTTTAATGAGAAGCATTCCGCTAAGGTTTGCTTTCTAACTAAGGGTAATTTGAGACATAGAGGGAAATTCAAAAAAGAGGATATAAAATACCCAGTGATGTCATAAACTTGATAAAGAAAAGCCGTCTGTATTCATAGACATTCTGACACAAGTGCATAAGATATCTTCTTAACCATTTTACTCTGTTGAATACTAAAATATTTCGGTAATATTTCCCTTTTACTCTCTATCAACACTTTGTAAGTCATAACAGTGTGTTCACTTACGTAAGTGTGCACAAGGGCCTAACACTGAACAAAAGGTTTAGTGTCTTCCATGGCCAGATGTATAACATTCCAGAATGGAAATTAGGAAACTCTGCATAAATTACCAGAGAATAAACCAAAGGTACTCCAGTTTTTTTTTGGGGGGGTGTTTCCAAGCCTAACAAAGCAGAAAGTATATAACAAGAATTCTTGTATTGGTATATCCCATCCTTCATTATGTGTGTATACTGTTTTTCAGTTCAAATGTTTCCTTAATTTAATTTGGTAATTAATAGCATCATGCTTATTGATTTAAGTTGGCTTTGAGTATTGTTATGTTTATGGTTCTAGTGTAGTACTTTGACTTGGAATATAAAGGGTTTTCTTGCTTGACAAATTTTTTCTCCAATATATGTTTGCAACTTAAATATTATGGACAGACCTTACATAAGTGGAATTCTTCTAACAGAGTTACCTAGTCCTTAGCAACACACTTGGATAGAATAAATTTTTAGACTAAATCTATTTGCAGATTTTCTGTGAACTTTCTCATGAAAGTTCCTGTCTTTCCAGCTTTATATACATTCCCACAAATTGTGAAGAAAAGAAAGTAGGAAATTGTATGAACCATGTGATCTGTTTAGGGCAGATTTTTCAGCTTTCAAAACAAAATGTTTCTGGGGGCAGCTAGGTGGTCCTGGAGTCAGGAGGACCTGAGTTCAAATCCAGCCTCAGACACTTGACACTTACTAGCTGTGTGACTCTGGGCAGGTCACTTAACCCCATTGCCTAGCCAAAAATTTAAAAAAAAAATGTTTCTGTTTGTGGAGAGCTAAACAGATAGCTATGTTTGAGCCACACTTACAGACATTCTAATAATTAGTCCTAATGATACAGTAATACAATTTCTGCATCTCAGATCTGATATTTGTGTCCATAGTGTCTAGAAAAGATAAAGAAATAAGAGCTAGAAGGTTACCTAAAAAGAGTGTCTATCTCTATTCATCAGGCAAAGAGAAACAACTTAATTTCCTAAAAGTTTACTACTTCTTACCCAACCCTATGTGTGTGTGTGTGTCTGTGTGTATTCCCTGTGAACCAATTCCAATGAGAGTGAGGTTCAGCTTCCCATCCCTGCCATTTTCTTTTCCAGTATAAAAGTTCTTCCTTAAGCTCTTCTTTTATGTGAGATGATTTTCCCCATTCTACCTCTCCTTTCTCCCCAATGTATCATTCTTTCTCACCCCTTCATTTATTTTAGAGGTCATCCCAACATAATTAAGTCACTCCTGCCCTCTTTCTGTGTTTGAATCCTAATAATGATAAAGTTCTAAGATGTTAAATGCATCATCTTTCCCATAAGCAATGTGAACAACTTGTGTGAATATGAAGTTAAACAACTTTATTGAGTTCCTTATGATTACTCTTTCATTTTTACCTGTTGAGTCTTGTGCTTGAAAATCAGATTTTCTATTCAGCTCTGGGTTTTTTTCTTAATCAAGAATGCTTGAAAGTTCTCTATTTCATTAAATATCCATTTCCCCCCCCAAAGGATTAGACTCAGTTTTGCTGGGTAAGTGATTCTTCATTGTAGTCCTAGTTCCTTTGCCCTCCAGAATATCATAATCCAAGCCCCCACTTCTAAACCCCTAAATCTTAATGTGATCCTGAATGTGGCCCAACAGTATTTGAATGGTTTCTTTCTGGCAGCTTGCAATATTTTCTGCTTAACCTGGGAGCTCTGGAATTTGGTTACAATATTCTGGGGACTTTTCATTCTGGGATGTCTTTGAAGAGGTGATTGATGGATTCTTTCAATGTTTGTTTTAGCCTCTGAATGTAAGATATCAGGGCAGTTTTCCTTGATAATTTCTTGAAATAGGATGAGTGGGTTTGTTTCTTTGATCATGGTTTTCAAGTAGTCCAATAATTCTTAAATTATCTCTCCTCGATCTATTTTCCAAGTCAGTTGTTTTTCTGATAAGATACTTCCCATTTCTTCTAGTTTTTTCATTCTTTTGACTTTGTTTTATTGTTTTTGTTTTGTTTTTCTGTCTCATAGAGTCTGATTTTTAAGGAATTATTTTCTTTGGTGAGCTTTGGTGCTCTTTTACTTTCTCATTTTTCTCTTTGTATTTTCAGAACCTAACACAGTGTTTGGTAGGTAATGTGCACTTAATAAATGCTTTCCCACAGAAACTGACAACTGAACTTTGGTTTATAGTAATAGTTGGGATGAGAAAGAAAAAAATAGAATATGAGTAGAGAGGTTATAAAATCAGAGCAAGAGTTTCAAGAAAGGAGTGTTCAGTTAGCTAATGCCAGAGAGAGGTCAAGGAGAATGAGGACATGAGAAAAGAATAATCTGTATGTATCATCAGTTTATATCGTAGGGATTTTTTACATTGCTTATAAACGATTGTTCTTGTGCTAATGTGGAATGACATCTTTTACTGTTGGATGCATTCCACTTCTCAGGGCCCTAATGCATAAAATCTCAATGTTTTTATTTTCCCCTTTCAGCCAGAAGAATTGAGAGACATCATTGAGAAGACTAGAGAGATGGAACAGAACAATGGCCACTACTTTGACACTGCAATTGTGAATTCAGATCTTGATAAGGCATATCAGGAGTTGCTTCGATTAATTAACAAACTTGATACTGAACCTCAGTGGGTACCATCCACCTGGCTAAGGTGAAAAAAAAATCATTCCATAGCATGATTGTACTTTTCTTTGGCAAACTGCCAACAAGGAAAATTGCCTCCATACTTTAATGAGACTTGAGTATTAGGTGGCCAATTGTATCTTTATACCTCTTTTTTATATCTCTTATGTTAATATGATTGGAAGAAGGCTGTTCACTGTGAAGAGAGTTCTTCACCTACATTGTGCTAGGGATTCCTTACTCATTTTTAGATTATAAATCTAAGCTTCAAACACAGCAGTCCCATTTTAATCGTAAAAATCTTTCAGTCCTGTTTTTCTTAATAACTAAATCTGTTTTCTATGCAGTCACATTTCCATAAAATGTAAGCATGCATACATGTGCGTGTGTGTGTGTGTGTGTGTGTGTGTGTGTGTGTGTGTGTGTGTGTATATATATATATATATATATATATATAAATCCATGTCACATAGTTATAAATGTTGATATTATTTAACACTTAAAAGAATTTACCTTGTGGAATCTTTGGTCATTTCAGACTATGCCTCTCAACTATAGGGCAGGACATCATTTTCCTAGAAAATTGGTTTTAGTCATCAGAAGTGCTTTCTTTTTAAAAAAAAAAACCCAAAATACACTGATCTAATTTTATTTTTTATTAAGAAGATATGCTACTTTGGTTCAACCCTGTTAGGCTTGAATTCAGTCTTGAGCGTATTATATTTTATCATAAACTAGATTCCATTTTGACAGCACTGTAATTTGGATAATGTTTATAATGTAAATATTTCAGACTTTCATTTTTTTCAGAACAAACTTTGTACATTAAACTTAACTTCACATTCAGCAACCTTGGGTCCAATGAAAGACACCATGTGGTTGGTCTTTTAAGTGTGAATATTTTATGCACCTCTGTTTTCCCTTTAAATTATATACCAACTGATTTGAGAACTTCTTCCTTCCTCTGATCTGTAGTACAACAGAAGAAATAAGTTACATTATGGAAGATGTTCATATGAAATGTGATTTTTAATAAAATGTGTTTCTTCCTCATAATGCAAGTAACTATTTTTTTTTAAAAATGAGGATACTGAGTACTAGATGATGTTTTATATTTTAATATATGAGCATAGCATTTCTTTTGATTGTTATGGGTAATAAACTGGAACTATGATTGCTGAATATAGCTGCTATACTGTAAACTGGTATTTAATAGATCAAGCAATGATTTTCATCCACTTACTCAATATTAGAGTAAAATTAGGTAAACCCTGATGAAATACTGTAAAAGTTGACTTTGAGATCAGAAGGAAAGGAAGGCCTGAAAGTCATTTGATAGCACTTTAGGAAAATGGCATTGGAAAAATTATTAAATGTACAGAAATATGAATTTTGTCCTAGCAGGTCTGCCTCTTGAGATCAGAATGCCGCTGCAAGCCGCATCTGGAGTGTATGTGACATAGTCTTAAGGCTTGCTCTGCAGCTGTCCATCTTTACAACACTACCATTGGCATGGAAAGATGGTCTTTAATCTCTTTATCCTTTAGGAGGCAATATGTGATTCAAGTGAAGGGGTGAAGAAGAGAGAAGACAAAACATAAAATGTGAATGTTAATTTTCCTTAGTAACTTTCTCTGCAATATTTCCTCTTTCTCAAAACTGAACACTGGAATGAAGTTGACTTGTAGTTTAATTTAACATAAGCTGTTAAGATTTTAATGGTTTGTCACATTGTCTTGTGTATACTCTCAGTTTTTCTCTTTGCTATACATTACCTGTAATAGAGAACTCTAGGTAGTCTGCATTGCTTTATTTTATTTTATTTTTTTTTGGTTCAAATTTGAAGAGCCCCAAAGTTGACTGGAAAGGTATAGTGCATGGAAATAATTTTTTAAAATATTTTTCCTTAGTGTGAAATTAATATTTCTCTTATTAAGGGATGGGATAAGTCCTTTTCTCATCAGGTCTGAGACACTCCAGCTAACATGTTGCCTAAGGAGTTGAAATGAAAAAAAATACTCGTTGAATTTGAAGGCACAAATCAAGGATTTTTTACTTTGCACTTAGCTTTCCAAATCTCTACAATTTTACTTTGTTCCCAGGAATAAAAGGTAGAGATTATATGGTCTGCTTTACTATGACAACTGTTTGTTAAGCCAGCATTAACATTTTGATGGTTCTTTCTCTGAGGATTAAAAGGATAGCTGAATTCATACCATACATTTTAAGTTAGACTTCGGTGCTGTGCAGCTTTATCATGTGTAGAGAGGAAACCTTATAGTTTGTAATAACCCTATGTATGTGTGTTGCAGCTGCATTGGAGCTGAATGAATAGAATCTTTGCATAAAGGGGCACCCCTGCCCTCTACCGTTCCCATGCAACACCAGCTTAGGAATACTTTTTTGTCTCAGTTCAGTCGTCATGTTTCCATCTCTCCCATTCTTCCCCTCAACACATGGTTGGTGAGCATAGTGGATGTATTCACCCCCAGAAGCTTTCTCCATCCATTTCTTAATTTGTTTTCAGTACATAAAGGGTGTGAAAATTGTTGCTAAAACATTTGTTGTTGATTTTCTCACTCTTCTTAGGTAAGTGATGAGAAGAATTCATACTGCAAATCAGAACGTGCACACTTGATTACGTGGTTGTCTGTCGAAACTTCATTTCCAGTCTTCTGTGTGCTGTGGTTCTGATTTGAATTCCCTTATATGGGAATTGAGAAGCCTCTATTTTTTAAGAGAAAAATGTACCTTGGATCCCAGTTATATACATTACTGTAAGAAATGTTTCCTATACGAATTTTTTTAATAGGTCATAACTTTAATCTCAAGCTGAAACAGGAGGGAACTTTTTGATATTTTGATCAATCCAGGTTTGCTTTCCATGAAAATTTAATATCTGGATTTCCCCCCTCCATCACTAATAGATAGCATTAACAAATATTAATATGAATGTAACTGTATTTTCAAAATATAAACCCTAGGGACTTAGCCTTAACAAAGATAATTTTCCTGAGACCTGTGGTTAACCCCACTTTATACTTTTCTATCCTGTACCTGCACTGTGTATTTTATGAAATGTCATAAACTGCACAACATCATAATGTAAAAAAAGTAAAATTATATTTCTAGATTTCAAATAAAATCACTGTAATAATCATATTTGTTATGATCTTGAGTGTTTGATTTTGTGTCCTTTGCAAAATTCAGTTCATTCAGTACATACAACTAAGAGCCAGACTAGGCCCTGGAGTGGATTTTGAAAGTTCTAGATGGCACACACTTCTGAAAGCTACTCATCTTTCCACTTTGTGCATTTGTGTTTTCACTAGAGGCCAGGAATTGGACCACTAAAGTCTTATTTGTTCTTATGAATGAAATTGTTTATTTTTTTCCGAATTGAAGGAAATACCTTCAATTCATCCCTTGTTCTAATAACATTAGCCCCTACTTCAAAAAGCTCATCCTATTGTAGACCCAAGGAAGGAGACTAAAAACAACTTCCCTTCTGTAATGCTTTTCATTATATATACCTATTGTTAGGAAGAAGTTTGCAAAATGCTTTATAGATAGAAAGATAATCTTTCCCCCAAAATTTGAATTATCATGTTGGAGAAGATGTGGGAAAATTGGAACACTAATGCATTGTTGGTGGAGTTGTGAAATGATCCAAACATTTTGGAGAGCAAGTTGGAACTATGCCCAAAGGGCTATAAAAATTGCATACCCTTTGACCCAGCAATAGCACTTCTAGGACTGTATCCCAAAGAGATCATACAAATGGGAAAAGGACCCACACATAGAAAAATATTTATAGCAGCTCTTTTTGTGGTGGCAAAGAATTGGAAATTGAATGTAATGGAGTACTGTTGTGCTATAAGAAATGATGAGCAGGCAGATTTCAGAAAAACCTGGGTCTGATGCTGAGTGAAGTGAGCAGAACCAGAAGAACATTGTACGCGGTAGCAGCCACATTGTGCGATGACTAATATTGATAGACAACTCTTCTCAACAATGCAAGGATCTGAGACATCTCCAAAGGCCTTATGATGGAAAATGCTGTCCACATCTAGAGAAAGAACCGTGGAATTTGAAAGCAGACTGAAGCATACTATTTGCTTTTTTTTCTTCTGTTGTGTTTTGTTTCCTCTTTCTGGTGGTTCCTTCTATTGGTTCTAATTCTTCCTTACCACATCATTCATGTGACAGTATGTTTAATAGGAATGTATATGTATAGCCTATATCAGATTGCACACCGTCTTGGGGAGAGAGGTGGGGAGGGAGAGAAAAATGTAAAACTCAAAAGCTTATGGAACTGATTGTTGATAAAGCAAAATAAATTAATTTTTAAAAAAAGTTTTAAAAAAAACCAATGTAAATGGAAAGAAAAAAATTTTATCTCCCCAATCCAGGTTTTTAACTATACTAATATTCCTATAATTAGGGATTATAGCTCCCCCCCAAAAAAAAGGCATCATAAACTCAGCAACTGTTTCATAGATACCAATGTACCACCACAAGAGGGTAGGAAACTAACCAGTGACTGCAACTACAGTGACAGCATCTGAACTGTCACAATTAAGCTAGTGAGTAGTAATGAGAAGCTTAGGCTAGATTTGGAAATAGGGAAGTCCAAGTACTATCAACCGAAGTGTAACACAGCTTTTTATACAACTGGGTTGCAGATGGGATTCTAGAGACAAGGGCTTATGTCCAACAGCCAATCCAAGCATTTGTTAAGAAACTTACTCTGTTCAAGGAACTTTGATAGGTGCTAAGGCTACAAAGATAGGCAGCTAGATAGATGGCTTAATGGATAGAGGCTGGAGTCTGGGTTCAAATCTGGTCTCCAGCTGTGTGACCCTGGGCAAGTCACTTAACCTCTGTTTACCTAATACACTGGAGAAGGAAATGGCAAACCACTCCAGTATCTTTGCTAAGAAAACCTCATGTGGAGTCATGAAGAGTCAGACAGGACCAAACAGCTGAACAGCAGAGGATACAAAGACAAAAAATGTTCTTTGCCCTCAAGGAACTCATACTAAAGGGTACAACATTTAACAGAGAAGTAAGTGTGTGTGTGTATAATCTCATAATTTTGAGGAAGAGATGGCATGTGAGTGGAAACTTGAAGAAAACTGGAGATTCAAAGAGGCAGGGTGCATTTTAGGCATGTGTAAATAAGCCAGGAATGATATGTTATGGGTTCTTAAGGGTGAATATATGTATGTGTGTGTATATATTCACCTTATATTCACTATATATATAGTGAATATATGAAGAAATAACAGCTACTTAACACTTTTTAGGATTCTAAATTTTGGCATAAACCTGGCATGTGTGTTCCAGATGTCTCAATGGGGCCATATGCTACCCCATCTCAATGGTTAAAGTTATGGGAAGCTATAAGCATTGGGGGGAGGAGGGTGAAGATGAAGAGAAAGACCTCACTTGACATAAATTCACATTATACAAATTTATAATTTCCCCCCTTCCCCCCACAGGACCCCACAGCTACCCAGGCTCCAGCTCTCAGTCCAGCTCCTGGCAGGCAACTGTAGCACAGCACCACAAGGTGCAGCCCCCCCAGGGACCCTCCACTTCAGGCACTGAACTATTTAAGGGTTGTTAGTGCTGATCAAGTGAAACAGTCTATATAGGAGTGCTTGACAAATTCCCAGGATAACCGAAGGGATCTCAAGCAAGGCCTCCAGTATCAAATGCTATACTAAAGATTATTTATTTAAACTCTTAACCCATGTACATCCTTAAAATGTTTAAGCACCTGTTTGTTAGCAACAGCATTAAATACCGAAAGCACCCCGTGGTCTAAAAAAAACCTAAGCTAATAAAGTTCTCTGGACTTTGTCTTCAGAGTAAGTATTAGGAACTGGTGTGTGGACCTTGGAGGTAAGTTCAACCCTCTCATTTCCCTGAGGGGTTACTGACTTTTCTATGCATTTCTATGCAGGAAGTGATAGCACTGAGAGGGAAACCTAAGTCCAACTCCAATCCCATTTCCTATGAGGATGTCACTAGTTATTACATACCATTTGTGTTATTCTGAAACATGTTAAAGATCATAGTGACTATCCTGATTACATTTAATTTCTACTTAAAATTTGGTATTTAAAATCCTAATTGTACTTATCTATGTCATTCAAAAACATTTAACACATTGAGTTTGTGATTTAGAAAACTTAATGTTTATAGGCACAGAGCAAAATCTCATACTATATACCAGAATCAAGTCAAAATGGATTCATGATTTAGATATAAAGGCTGATACTATAAGCAAACTGGGAGAGCAAGGAATAGTTTACCTGTCAGATTTATGGAGAACAGAAGAATTTATGACCAAATAGGAGATAAAGAACATTATGAAACGCAAAATGGATAATTTTGATTACGTTAAATTGAAAAGTTTTTGCACAAAGCCAATGCAACCATGATTAGGAGGGAAGCAGAAAACTGGAAAAGAATTTTTACAACCAGTCTCTCTGATAAGGGCCTCATTTCTAAAATATATAGAAAATTAAGGCAAATTTATAAGAATACAAGCCATTCCCCAATTGATAAATGGTCAAAGGCTATGAACAGTCAGTTCTCAGATGAAGAAATTAAAGCCATCTATGGTCATATGAACAAATGCTCTAAATCACTACTGACTACAGAAATGAAAATCAAAACAACTCTCAGGTACCACATCAGATTGGCCAATATGACAAAACAGGAAAACGATGTTGGAGATGATGTGGTAAAATTGGAACACTGATGCATTATTGGTGGAGTTGTGAAATGATCCATTTTGGAGAGCAATGTGGAACTATGCCCAAAAGGCTATAAAAATGTGCATGCCCTTTGACCCAGCAACAGCATTTCTAGGGCTATGTCCCAGAGAGATCATACAAATGGGAAAAGGACCCACATGTACAAAAATATTCATAGCAGCTCTTTTTTGTGGTGGCAAAGAAGTGGAAACTGAGAGGATGCCCATCAACTGGGGAATGGCTGAGCAAGTTGTGGTATATGAATGTAATGGAATACTATTGTGCTATAAGAAATGAGTAGGCAGATTTCAGAAAAACCTGGAAAGACTTGTATGGACTGATGCTGCGTGAAGTGAGCAGAACCAGGAGAACATTGCACATGGTAGCAGCCATGTTATGGGATAACTAACGTTGATAGACATAGCCCTTCTCAGAAATGCAAGGTCCTAAGGCATCTCCAAAGGTCTCAAGATGGGAAATGCTATCCACATCCAGGGAAAGAACTATGGAGTTTGAATGCAGATTGAAGCATACTATTGGCTATTTTTTTTTCTTCTGTTGTGTTTTGTTTCCTCTTTCTGGTGGTTCTTCCTATTGGTTCTAATTCTTCCTTACATCACTAATGTGAAAATATGTTTAATAGGGATGTATATGTATAGCCTGTATCAGATTGTGAGCCATCTTGGGGAGGGGAGAAAAATTTAGAACTCAAAAGCTTAAGGAAGTGATTGGTGATAAATCAAAATCAATTAAAAAGTCAAGGTAAGGATAAAACCACTGTTTCTATCTTCTATAAAAAAGCCTATCTTATCTTTCTAGCACATTTCCCCAATTCTCTTTAAGGTTATGCCCATTTTTTTCTACTCAACTTCAACTTAAACATTACCAGGAACACTCATTCTGGCTATGCTGATGACTGCTTTGAAAACATACTCTGAAAAAAGATGTAAAAGATAATGGATCAAAGGCATAGTGGATAGAGCTTCAGCTTTGGAGTCAGGAGGACCCAAGTTCAAATGTGACCTCAGACACAACACTAGCTATGTGACCCTGGGCAAGTCACTTAACCCCAACTGCCTCACTAAAAAAGCCCTCCTCCCCATTCCCCATCCCCCCCAAAAAAACCTTTGCAAAGTTAAGCATAATGACCTGGAAAAATAAGTATGATGAAAATTAATATCCTGCTTCGTTGAAATACTAAACACGATTTGCAAATTGCAATACTGAGCTTAAAAGTGGTTGCTGGATTCTACATGCAGCATAAGGATTCATAAATCAATACAAGAAAGCGAGCAGGATACTGCTATATTCCAGAGTCAATTGCAGACCCAGGACACAGTTATAATGGTACACCCTAGACAGGCACAAGGCAGTGCTTGCTCCAATCCAGTG